CTGCAAAGAGGCAGCGCTGCTTCCTCCCTCTACCTCCTCAGCTGCCTTTCACTCCTAGAACACTGCCCTCTGCGTCCATCCCCGCCGCCCACGACCTGTAGGGTGCCAGTTCCCTATGTGACATCCCTATATGGCAGCAGTTGGCGCGTTGATGCCTCCCTCTTTGGTTGAGTGTGTTCTTCTCTTGGCTTCCACGAAGTGATATGATCCTCTGTGTCCCCTGCCAAGGCCTTTTTCTGTCCTCCTCTTAAATGTCTAATTCTTCCTCTCAGTTTCTGGACCCACTCTTTTTGCCGTCATGGGCCTGCAGGCCTTTGATGACAGTTTTCACATTCAGGACTCCACGTCTCAATCTCCAGGCAAAATATTTCTCTTGAGTTCCAGACCCCAAGTGTTCCACTGCCCAATAGACACCTTCCCCTGGATGTCCCACAGGAACCGCAAACCTGACACGTTTAACACTTGGCAACTCATCATCCCCCCACCCAAGCCCACTCCTCCTCCTGTGGTCCCTCTCTCAGGGAAGGGCCGACGCCACCCTGTTACACAGCCCAGCTTCTTGGAGTCACCGTGACTTGTGCTTGTCCCCGTCTGCCACCCCACATCCAGTCCATCCCCTTGTCTTGCTGTCCCTGCCTCCTGGCTGTCGCATGTGCCTGCTCCTTCCCTCCTCTTGGCTCAGCCTGAGCTGTCCTGACCTGGATTTGTACCCTGGGAGTCATCCCGCCTGCACCTCTGCCCTCCTACAAACCACGCTCCACTCTATGAGTGATCTTTCTAGAATGCGATCCTGACCCCTCTCTTACTGTAAACCCCCCAGCGATCCCCCTTTGCCTTCAGGATAGTGTGTGGCCTCCTTCATCCGGGCCGAAGACCCTTCCTTGTCCAGCCCCTGCTTCCCTCCCCAGGCTCCTGTCTGATCTCTGGCCCCACGCTCCTGCCGTGCTGCGCCGATCCCAGGTCCCCCGTGCGCCACACCTTCTCTGCCGTGTCACTGATAGTGCTGAAGGAAAATGCACACAGACAACGGCTCATGGTTGAATGGGGGGTGGGCATCGGGATTCTGAGAAGGCGCCTTTTGCAATCTGTCCTCAGCAAAGGTGACGACAAAGGAATAAAGGAAGATGGCAACATAGCGAGAAAGGGCTGCGCATGGCACACCCGGGTCACTGAGTCACTGAAACCAAGGCACAGACCTGGAGGGAGTATTCATTTCAACAATGAATTAAATAAAAACAGTGAGGGATAGAGGATTCAATACCTTTGAAGTGGAAAATGGTACCTAAAATCTATAATGATTTAGTAATTTGTGGTACAGCTGAATAAAGGCCCAAAGTAGAAGAAAAATAACCCCAAGGAGACTCCCTTATAAGCTCCAACACAGCATTTGAAGTACTTTTGCTAATACGATGACTATACCAACAAGAACAGTAGTCATTTTTTTTTTTTTTTGAGACAGAGTCTCACTCTGTTGCCCTGGCTAGAGTGAGTGCTGTGGCGTCAGCCTAGCTCACAGCAACCTCAAACTCCTGGGCTCAAGCGATCCTCCTGCCTCAGCCTCCCGAGTAGCTGGGACTACAGGCATGCGCCACCATGCCCGGCTAATTTTTTCTATGTATTTTTAGTTGTCTGATTAATTTCTTTCTATTTTTTTTTTAGTAGAGATGGGGTCTCGCTCTTGCTCAGGCTGGTTTCGAACTCCTGAGCTCAAACAATCTGCCCGCCTCGGCCTCCCAGAGTACTAGGATTACAGGCATGAGCCACCATGCCCGGCCAGTAATTTTTAAATTTATTGATTAATAGCAACATTGACTCTATAGAAATTCCTTGTTTTTTTTGAGACAGAGTCTCACTCTGTTGCTCAGGCTAGAGTGCAGTGGTGTAATCATAGCGCACTACAACCTCAAACTCCTGGGCTCAAGCCATCCTCCTGCCTCAGCCTCCCGAGTAGCTGGGACTACAGGCACATGCCACCAAGCCCGACTAATTTTTTAATTTTTTGTAGAGACAGGGGTCTCACTATGTTGCCCAGGCTGGTCTTAAACTCCTGGCCAAAAGCGATCCTCTTGCCTCAGCCTCCCAAAGTGCTGGGATTACAGGTGTCTGCCGCTGCGCCTGACCATAAATCCCATACTTAAAAAAAATGAGTCTAACCGTACTTTCAGTTTCCATGCAACCTTGTATCGTTCTACCCTGGCCTTCTTATACTTTGTTCCCTCTGCCTGAAACACATACTGGCTGAGAAATGTTGTTCAAGTCATTTAACCTCTTCATTCCCTCATCTGTAAAAATGAGGACAATAAAATTAAACATAACAATAACAATAGTACCTACCTTGTGGGTTGTTGTAAGACTTGCATGAGTTATACTTGTCAAACACTGAGATCAGAGCCTGCCACAGAATAAGTGCTTGACAGGTTTTTTTTTGAGACAGAGTCTTGCTCTGTCACCTGGGCTAGAGTGCCATGGCGTCAGCCTAGCTCACAGCATCCTGCCTTAGCCTTCCGAGTAGCTGGGACTACAGGCACTTGCCATCACGCCCAACTAATTTTTTGTTTCTATTTTTAGTTGCCAGCTAACTTTTTTCTATTTTTAGTAGAGACGGAGTCTGACTCTTGCTTAGGCTGGTCTCGAACTCCTGCCTTCAAGCTATCCTCCCGCCTCAGCCTCCCAGAGTGCTAGGATTACAGGCGTGAGCCACCCCCCTGGCCTGCTTGACAGTTAGTAATACCCTGCCACCGTTGTGGTCATTACTGTGTCGTCGTGATGATTGCTGTGTTTGTTATCGCCCTCCCGCCTACTACTGCTCACCTTCCTAGCTCTTACACGTTCTCCTGTTCTGGAAGCAGGAATCATTCCTGGAGCGTAGACTCTCCCCTCCCCCAGCAGCCCTCCAGAGTGAACATCCTTATCTTCCTTTTGCAGGGGTGGAAGGGGAGGTGCACAGGATTCGGTGTTTTTCCCAGGCTCCCAGACTAGGAAATTGGCTCGAGGTCCCCCGACCCTGAAGCCTGAGCTCTGGGTCCGCTATGCTGCGCCGTCTCCTGCCATCTCTGTGCTGATGTTCGCAGCGCTCTGTCTGCAGCCTGTGTCTGCAGCTCCTCGCTGCGTAGCTCCACCTCAGTGGCTCATAACTATTTTCCTTCCTCTCCTTCCCTCTCAATGTGCTTCTCTTCTCATGGGCCTCTTTTCATGTCTGGCCTCATGGTTCACCCACATGCTAGGCCGAACGCCTGGGAATCACCCCAGCCTCCTCCCCGCTCCCCTGCGCCTTGTAGCCACTACGGCCAGCCGACGGCGTTCCTCGAGCATCTCTCACATCTGTCTTTCTCCCTCCATCTCCACTGAACAGAGCGTTAAGACTTTCTCGCCTTTCTCATCTGGATGATCTTGTCGGCTTCCTCCCAAACAGTCCTTCCGTCCCTGATCTGCACTCCGGCTGCCAGAGGAATCTTTCCAACATGGAAATTGGACCAGGTCTCACCCCTGCTTAAAAATCTCCAGTGGTTCCCTGCTGTCAAAACAGCTCTGAAAAGGTCCCAAGGAAAGCTCTGCAAAACAAGTGTTCTGTGGCCAAAATGTTTGGGAAATGCAGCTCACTCTGTTCCTCCTTAAAGAGTCACTCTACACAGAAACGTAATAAAGGTTACAAGAAGCCCGTGGTCAAGAATCTTGCTTAGATTTGTTTGAGCCACCGGCTCCTGGTCTCACCTGATACAGTAGCCTTTTCTCCACATTATTAACGTGTGGGGAATCATGCTCTGATGAACACTCTTTGGGAAGTGTCACCTGGCAGGATCAGGTTCAAGTTCTTTATCATGATACGATATAAAGAAGGGACACCTTATCTTCCCGCATTCCCCTCCCATTCTTACCTCCACCCCAAGTTATCTGCATCTCCCCCTTTCGGGGAGTTTTATACCTCGGTGGGGCTGTTCCTTGACAGCCCCTGTCTCTAATTCCTAAAGGACAAATCTCTAGTAATGCTCTAAGAGTTAGCCCCAGGGGCACCTCCTTTGTGAATCTGTTCACTCCTTCTTTGTGGGTCCACGACGGCATGGCTTGTGGTTGTCAGCTTTTATCTGTTGGTGGGTCTGTCTGCTCCGCTGAAGGATGAGTTCCTCTGCAAGAGTGGCCGGCTCTATCTTCAGGGCCCACACTGCACGTGGCGCACGGCGGGGGCTGGGGCAATGCGGGCTGACCAGGGAATGAGGGAATGCGATCGAAGGTCTGAGGCTTGGTGCTGGGATGGAAGATCATGCCGCCTCAAAGGGTGGTTCCAAGCCGGGGATTCTCAGCCTTGGTGCCATTGACATTTTGGACCAAATAATTCTTTGCTGTGCCCTATGCGTTGTAGGATACTTAGCATCCCGGCCTCTACCCACTTAATGCCAGTAGCAACCCCTCTCCCCAGGTGTGACAATCGGAAGTGTCTCTAGACATTGCCGAATGTCCCCTGGGTAGGAGCAAAATCATCCCTGGTTGAGACCACTGTTCTAGACATAGGTTATTCCACTTGTCTTTCTGTTACTGGGCAGATGGTCCTTTTCTCGGTTTAACTCTGTATCCTTCTTGTCCTTAAAACTTTCTCAAGGATTTAAAAAAAAAACAAAAAACACCTCTCTCCATGCCTGAGGCTGAATTTTTCTTGCTCTGGGGAAGGTAGGGGTAAGTTCCAGGAAGGGTGCAGCTTCAGTTGCTTCCCTGGGGATGGTGAAGCCAGCCTAGAGGGTGAGCTTGTGTCGTGCCTGGGGCTAGGGAGGCACGTGGGACCCCTGGGCGCTTTGCTCCAGGCGTCTGTGCTAGTTCCCTGGAGAGAAGACACTGGGGACGTTTATCAAGCAGCCTTGCAGAGAGCTGCCAGCCTGGCCCGTGCTTTCCAAAAGCACATTCCTTTGGTGGATGGAAACTCCAGTCTATTCATGTCCCGTTCTTGTGGGAGCCTGGAAAGACGGGGTCTCTTCTCCCGCCGCCTTCTCACCCTGGTTCCACCCTTGCAGTCAGTGCCGAGGGGAGCCAGGCCTGTGCCAAAGGCTGTGAGCTCTGCTCAGAGGTCAACGGCTGCCTCAAGTGCTCGCCCAAGCTGTTCATCCTGCTGGAGAGGAACGACATCCGCCAGGTGGGCGTCTGCCTGCCGTCCTGCCCGCCTGGCTACTTCGACGCCCGCAACCCCGACATGAACAAATGCATAAGTGAGTTGTGGGCAGGGCTGCAGGGGGCCCAGACTCTACACTGGGGGGGTGCTTTGAGCCATTGGTGGTGGATGAAAGGAGTTGAGGGGGCGCCGAGGGGAGGAGAGAGGCTCCCTATTCGAGTATCCACTGCCAGCCAGGCATCTACCACCCACGCTTCCAACCCAGTGTGTCCATTCCAGAAACCCGGCTCCTCCCTCCACACCTGCACCTACCTGTACTCCCGCAGGTCACTGTCTCATGTCCCAACCCATCGCCCAAGCCACAGACCTCGCTTGTGCTGCCACCTCATCCATCCAGTCACCAGATCCTGCCCACTCATCTCCTTTCTGTCCTCACTGCTGCTGTCTTTCCCAGGTTCCTGTCGCCTCTCTCCTGGACCATTGCAATAGCCTTTTTTGGGGAAACAGAGTCTCACTCTCTTGCCCCAGGTAGAGTGCAATGGCATCATTGTAGCTCACTGCAACCTCAAATGCCTGGGCTCAAGCCATCCTCTGGCCTCAGCCTCTGGAGTAGCTGGGACTACAGGCATGCACCATGATGCCTGGCTAATTTTTCTGTTCTTAGTAGAGATGGGGTCTTGCTCTTGCTCAGACTTGATCTCGAACTCCTGACCTCAAGTGATCCTTCTGTCTTGGCCTCCCAGAATGCTAGGATTACAGGTGTGAGCCACCACGTGCAGCCTGCAATAAACTTTTCAACTGTCCTCCAGCCCTTATCTGGTTCCCTGCAACTCGCCTGCTGCACTGCAGCCGAAAGATGCTTCTGAGACACACAACCTGCCCCATCACACTTCTTGAAAACCACTGTTGGCTCCACGCTGCAGGGAAATGCACCCCCTGTCAGCACGCTCTCCCGCCCTCCTCTCCCCCGGTCTTCTGGCTCTGCGTTTCCATGCCAGCTACAGTCCCACGTGCTCCGAGGCACGTGCTACCATATCTCCATCCCATCTCTGTAGCCGCAGCTGTGACACACTGGGGGACACCCAGTGAACACACTTGGGGGAACAATGGCAACGCTCCCACCCATTTTTTCAGCACCTTGCAGTTCAGAGTGCATTTCCAGATCTCATATCGGTTGAGTCTCGCGACGATCTTTGGAGGGAGACAGGACAAAAGTGATGGTGTCCTTTTTAGAGCTAATAACATGAAGGCCCAAAGGGGAGAGACTGGCCCAGGGTTAGCAGACCGCATTCTGATCTCGGCTCTGCTGCTCCGTCACTGTGTGACCTTGGGCATGTCTCAACCTCTCAACACCCCATCTTTACAAAGGGAATACGTGTTTTTACCCCCTAGGGCTGTTGTGAGATGCACATGGGTCTGGCACTCGATAAGTGGTAGCTGCTGTTGTTCTTATTTTCCTTCTTATTTTGCTGGCAACCAAAGCCGGGAATCAGAGAGTCCGGGAGGGAAGCGGGGGGTGAGACTGAGATAAAGTCACAGAGGCCAGGAGGCACAGAGGAGGGTGGGGAGCTTGTGCGGATGGAGGGGACCCTGGAGCTGCCCTGCTGGTGCTCAGGGCATTTGGGGTTGGGAGCTCCTGGCTGTGTCGGCTCCTGGGAAACTGGCGGCCTGGGCTTGAGGTGCCAGAGACCGGGAGGGAGTCAGCCCTGCCCACACTCTGGAAAGGGAGAGGTTGTGAAAGACCCTGCCTGCTTCCAGCCAAGCCCCGCGCGGCTCACCCTCCCTCATCCCCCCAGAGGAGAGAATAGTAGGAGGGAACCAGGGAGGGACCCAGGAGTCCAACCAAGGTGGTTCCTGGAACTCAGCCTTGCACAGGGAGAGGAATTTGCCCTGGGATTGCTCCCACTCCTCCGAGCAGATTCCTTCGGCCCTAGGCAGGAGGAGAAGACCAGGGTTTGGGATGTCGTGGGTGCCCAGCAGTGGGAGAAGACGGGACCACACGGCCACTCTCTGGGGGTCATTCGATCTCAGCTTGACTCTGACTACGGTGGCCCTTAGGATGCCATGAGATGCTCCTCTCCCACCCCACCAAGCCCTGAGGGCCTCACCCCCTCCTCTCTGGGGCCTAACCTTGGGTTCCAGGGCCTGAGACCGGGTTCGGGTTGGGTTGGCCGATGGCAACAAGAGTCCCTAGCTGGCCTCAAGGGCCACTTCAGCCCCTCCCCCGGCCTCCCCTCCCACACCCCCTCCGCAGTCAACACTGCCCCTCCGTGGGGGTGGGTGTGGATGGGAGGGCACTGGGGCTGGGGAGGGGAAGGGAAGTGTCCGCCCCAGGCTGGGCCAGAGGCCCCGATCTGTTCTGTCCTCAGAATGCAAGATTGAGCACTGCGAGGCCTGCTTCAGCCACAACTTCTGCACCAAGTGTAAGGAGGGCTTGTACCTGCACAAGGGCCGCTGCTACTCGGCCTGTCCTGAGGGCTCCTCGGCTGCCAGTGGCACCATGGAGTGCAGCAGTCCTGGTAAGCTGTGGCGGGCACCACAGGAAGAGGGTCCAGGGCCCCTGGAGGAGGGGCAGGGTGGGGTCTGCCGGGGAGCGTGTGGCCGGGGCACTGTGCCAGGAGAGCGGACCCCACCACCTCCTTCTGGGGTTTCTCTGAGGACTTTTCTGCCCTCTGGACTGAAGCTGCCTTTGTCTTGAGGCCCAGGCACAGGGCAGGTGGGGGAGGCTCCCCCCGGGCTATTCTGGGCCCTGGGCAGAGATGTCACCCCCTCCTCCTCTTCCTCTCCCCTCTCTTGCTGCCAGCACAATGTGAAATGAGCGAGTGGTCCCCATGGGGTCCCTGCTCCAAGAAGAAGAAGCTCTGTGGTTTCCGGAGGGGCTCTGAGGAGCGGACACGCAGGGTGCTCCATGCCCCTGGCGGAGACCACGCCACCTGCTCCGACACCAAGGAGACCCGGAGGTGCACAGTGCGGAGGGTGCCGTGCCCTGACGGTGAGCTGCAGCCTCTGCTTCCCTGGGGCCCGGGCTCAGGCACCAGCCACGGCAGGTCCCGTCACCTCTGCTCAGGAGAGGGCCTCAGGGCAAGGCCAGACAGTGTCAACTTGAGACTCGTGCCCCCATGCTGTTCCAGCCAGGTGCCATGGCCTGGCAGAGGGGTGCCCCAGAACTCTGTGTGGGGGGGGGCTGTAAGCTCTGTGGCCAGTATCCCTCCAGTTTCCTCATTTCTCCTGAGCCAGTGGCTGTTCATGCTAGAGGGGCCCCCAGAGGTCAGATGTGGGGTTGGAAAGGGGCATTAAGATCCAGAGAGGTGTACCGATTCCACCAAGGTCACACAGCCTGCAGTTGGCAGTGAGACGGTTGCTGCTTAGTTGCCTGGCCCCAGAGGCAGCCAATGGGGGCCAGGGTCTGGGGGGCTGTCCTGTCTCTCCTGAGGGCTGCACCGAACACCTGGGCAGTACTCTTGGTGCACTGGCATCCAAGGTCTGAGGAGGCCACAGGGAAGAGGATGGCGTCCAGTGTGCATTAAGGGTTGGAGGGTGGCAAGGCCCTTGGGACCCCCCTCAGTGCCCATGCTGCAGAGTCCTCTGAAGTGGCTGCTGGTCAGAGGAGGCCTCCAGGTGACCCGACAGCATCCCCAGGCCTCCTTCCTGCCTCGCCCCCCCAGCTTCCTCACAGTCCCCTCCCAGGGCCCTTGACCAGGCCCAGGGCCTCCCTGCACATCCCTGGTTGACTCTTCCTGCTGTTGGGGCTGTTGCAGGGCAGAAGAGGAGGAAGGGAGGCCAGGGCCGACGCGACAACGCCAGCAGGAACCTGGCCAGGAAGGAGAGCAAGGAGGCGGGCACTGGCTCTCGGAGACGCAAGGGGCAGCAACAGCAGCAGCAGCAGCAGCAGCAAGGGACGGTGGGGCCACTGACGTCTGTGGGGCCCACCTAGGGACATGGTCCAGCCTCCAGGCCCATGCAGAAGGAGTCCAGCGCTGCTCTGGGTGATGAAAGCTTTCCTGAACTGGAGCGTCGGGGGGCAACGCGCACACACACTCCATCCATCCATGCACACACACACACACACACACACACACACACTCCCCATGTCCACATATGCAACCATACATACACGCACACGTGGGATGTGTGTACACACACACATACGCACACACAACTGAAGCCACCAGAAGACACTTCCATCCCTCGGGCCCAGCAGTACCTGCTTGGTTTACAAAGCTCCCAGCGGACATGTCAGAGAGAATGTTTCCCGGCATCCGAGCGGAGTGGAGCCTTCTGGCGGAGCTGCTGGGATTGGACCTGCGGGTGTGGCAGATGCCAAAGCTTGAGGACTGCTGGGGCCCCGGGGGGAGAAGTCTTCTTCCTACCCTGTTCGGCACTCCCAGCTGCGTGACTTTATCGTTGGAGAGTCCTGTTACGCATCCATGGTACTTACCAGGGCTGACCTAACTCTGAAAACAGCTTAAAGGTTTATTTCAAATTAAAGACAAAATCAACGACAGCAGTAGCCACAAGCACCACGTTCCTTTTCAGGGTGCGAGGATTGGTGAGGTACGGACAGGAGCAAGAAGGGACAGGGCTGAATTTCCAGAAACCACTCACAGCCTCCGCAACAGAGGCTGCACAGCAGGAAGAAAACGTCGGGGCTACTCTAAGGGCCATAAACAGGTTCTCCACATCCTCGTTACTCAGAGGGTGGTCTGTGGACCAGCAGCAATGTTGTCACTGGGCAGCTTGTTGGGAGTGGGTATCTTGGGTCGCATCCCAGAGCTGAGGAGCCAGCATCTGCATTTTAACAAGATCCTAGATGACTGGCATGTACACTTAAGTTTGAGAAGTGCTGCTCTAATTACCCCTAAGGATGGAACAAAGGGCCCCGGCTAGCTTGCAGCAGGAGGGATTGTGGTCAGCTATAAAGGAGGACTTCCAGTCAGGGAAAGGCAGAATCTGTATACTGAAGGCTACGGTGGCCCTCCTAGGGAAGGGAGTGCATAGGCTCTCTGAGACAGTTGGCTGGCGACAGTCCTGCCCAAAGGCAGGGCTGTGGATAGAATGACTTCTTGTAGCGTTCTGAAGTGTGTACCAGGCTCTGGGCTAGGTGTTTGGCTTCCAGTGGGGAGCCAGACAGACACACGCCTTGCTTTCATGGAGCTTCGAGGTTGGTGGGGAAGACAGACAGGCATCAAGCAATCACGCGAAGAAATATGTAATTACAAAAGGTTGGAGTCAAGGGCGAGCAACCACTGGCACATACACGTAGCTGTGAAAGTGAATAAAATGGTATAAAAATAAAAGACTTTATCTCAGGGAGGCGTGATATTTAAGCCAAATTCTGAAGGATGAAGAAGGATTTAAGACAAAGACTGGCGCTGTCCAATAGAAATATATGAGCCACGCACGTAATTTACATTTTTTTTTTAGTAGCCACGGTTTAAAAAGTAAAAAGAAAGAGGTGAAGTTAATTTTAATTATATCTGTCATTTAACCAAATGTATGCAAAATATAACCTTTTAAACATGGAATCAATACAAAAAATTATTATTGAGATCTTTTACATTCTTTAAACTACATCTGTAACATTCTGTGTGTAGTTTTACACGAATACAGCATATCTTAATTTGTTTTTTTTATAGGCAGCATATCTTAATTTGAAAGCTAAAATTTCACGAGAAATACCTGATCTGTATTTAGATTTCATAAACATTAAAGCTGAAAAAGAAGATTCACATACTCAAGTTGTTTTAAGAATATTTCACAGTTTTCCAATAACTGAGTGGAATATAAGTTTTTAAATTTTGATTTAATTAATGAAAATTAAATGACATTAGCAAGTCAGTTTTCAGTTGCACTAGCCATATTTCAAGTGCTCAATAGCCACATGTGGTTAGTGGCTACTATATTGGACAGCACAGTTCTACACAGAAGGCACAGCACATGCAAATGTCCTGTGGCAGAAAGTAGCTTGGTCAAAGAACTGAAAGAAAGCCAATATAGCTGGAAGGCTTGGAGGGCAAATGAGGTGAGATGATTCCAGAAGGGTCACCTGGAATTGGGCATTTATTCTCAGTGCCAAGGGAGGCTACTGAACGGTTTTAAGCGGCAGGCCAGCTTGCACTTTGCAACGATCCCATTGTCTATAGAGTGGAAGACAGACTGGGGAGAAGCTGCTTAGGAGACTGTTGCTATCACCCAGGTGAGAGATGCTGGAGGCTTGGACTCTGGGTGCTGGTGGTGGCAATGGAGAGAAGTGGACAAAGTCAAAAGGTATTTGGAAAATAAAGTCGACAGAGTGTTACGATGCTCTGGATATGGAAGAGGGGAGAGAAGGAGAGGGCGGTGTGATGGCTGCAGTCCCCATTTCTGGTTCAAACACCCAGACAGATGACAGTGCTGTGTTCTAAGATGGGAAGACTGTGAGGAGAACCAGTTTGGGAGAAGAAGGACAAAGATAAGTTTGGTTGTGACCCTGTTGAGTTTGCAGTACCTCTGAGACATCCTGGTGGAGATGGTGAGTTGACATTGCGCAGACATAAACACAGGTCTAGGTGAACAGAGGACGCTTGGGCTGGAATATACGCTGGTGCAGAGAAGACAGTTGAGGCTGTGAGTTTGGGAGGGGTCAACTAAAAAGCGAGCACTGGGTGAAGAGAGGGCTCAGGATCCAGCTCCGTGTCCCTCCAAACATCAAGACCAGATGATGGAGGACGAGTTGACAAAGGAAAGAGGGAAGGAACAGGTAAGAGGAAGGCTGGCGGGTATCAGGTCCCAGAAGCCAGCAAGAAGGAGAGAGAGAGCAAGTGAAAGAGGCCTGGGAGAGCCACTAGGCTCAGCAACACGTGTGCCAGTAGCAATCTTGGCAAGAGCTGTTTGGGGAGGGTGATGGAAGCAGACGTTTAGCTGAGAAAAGGGGAGGAGAAATAGCACAGGGCCTAGAAAGAGATGTGAGTCAAGAGAGAGTCTTGTTTCTTAGGTGGGAAAGGCTTCAGCATGTTCAAAGCCCCTGTGAACGGTGCAATTAAGAGACAGGGGTTGAGTACATGGGAGAGAGAAGTGGACATCGGCAGTGGAAGCTTCTGGGGGGAGGGACAGCTGTGCAGGAGCAAGGCACGGGCGATGCAGGTGTGGGAAGGCTGGTAGGCGAGGAAGGTGGGGGACCTCAGGTCTGCGCACCTGCCACCCTGCTGGTCTCACCCACGCCCATGCCTGTGATCCCCTTCACTGCTGCCCATTACTCAGAGCCCACGCTGGAGCCTGCATGGTCACAGGCTGCCCACGGCCAGCACCAGCCCCTCTCGCCTCGTCCTTTCCCTGGTCTCCCCTCCCTGACCCTGGCTCCATCTGCCAGTTTCTCTGTCCCTCTCAGTCTTCCATCTCTGCTATGCCCCACTCTGTTTCTCTAACTCTATTCTTCTCGGTCCTTCTTTTTGTCACCCATCTTTCTCTGTTCCCACCTCAACTCCTGACTCTGTTTGCATGCACCATTGTTTCTCTCTGTTTCTCTGTCTCTCATTTCTGGGTATCAATCCTCAGTCCCAATATGTCTCAGCCATCTCCCAGATCCTTAGGCCCTTGCTAGTCAAAGTGTGGCCCTGGACCAGCGACCTTGGCCTCATCTGGGGGCTTGCTAAAAATGCAGGATCTAAGGCTCCACCCAGACATAAGAATCTGAATCTGCCTTGTAACAAGATCCCCCAGATGATTCATGTATATATTCAATGTTTGAGAAGGACTGTCATAAGCTTACCTCTAAAACTATGCTGAAACAGAAATCCAGATTCTTAGCAACATCAAAGAATGAGCTGGGTCCTCCTGGATCACCTTGGTGATGCTCTTCGACATTCAGCTTCTCTGCATCACCTCCCTGAACCCCCTAAAAAGCTGCTCCTGAAGCTCTAGGCAGCTAAGCAGAGAAACATAACACAGGTTTCAGAAAGTGCTGGGTCCGCTGCTATACACACCTCAGCTTCCACATCTGCAGAATGACTGGCCAGAGGGTGTTCTAGTACTGATCTGCTGGGTGCTTCCACGTGTGATCCCAGTGCATCCCTGAAAACAATTAGCCCCACCTGGACCTACTCCTGTCTGTCTCACTCTGTCCTTTTTTTGAGCTGGAGGTGGGTATGGATTTCAAAATGAAGGACAGTTACCTGCTCACACGCTAGAAGCATCCCACCTAAGGCAGAGACAATAAGGGCTGAAAGCAGCCCAGAGTTGGTTTAGAATTCACACCTTGTGCTTTTTAGGATGAGCGAGTGCTGGAGAGAGGGAATCTCTGTCGAGATGTAGGGTTGCCTAACCCTGCGCCCAGGTTTAGGCAACAACAGCACGTGATTGTATGTGGTTGTTATCTGCCCACATTGTTATTTGGAAAATGTTAGCTTTTTCCTCTACAGGGTCACAGACTTGCCCAGACTAACACATTTCTGGCCACCTCACGTAGTTCCAGCTCTGGTATGTTTCAGATCAAGTCACCAGAATATGGATTTGTTTTCCATTTCAGTATTTTGGGTGATGGTTTTCTGGATTTGTTTCTTTTTTTAAACTGGTGATTTTTCCGCCTGGTTTGTTCGGTTTGGTTTAGGAGGACTGAGAGGGAATTTAGGAAAAGGGTCAGCTTTTGAGGCCCTGTCACAAGTCCCCCAGGCAGAGCCAACAACCCAGGTGCTGGCTTTTTCCCTGTCACTCCTCCAGCTCTGACCCAGGCCAGAGTTAAATGGGCAACAGGCAGAAACCCTAGTGAACGGTGATAAGGTAGGAGAATAACAACCAAAGAGAACAGGTTCCATTTTGAAGGACTGAATGGATTCATTGCAAAAGAACTGGAGTGCTGTCCCGTACTGCTAGCAGAAGTGAGCCAGAACAAAAGCCTAGTTGTAGGGGAGTGGAGAAGAGCCGAAGATTAGGCGCCTCAGGGATCGCTGACATGTGAGC